TTGAGTTACATTAGAGCCAAAATGCAAATTAAACTGGTAAGGTTCCAAGTTTTTTTTTTCTTTTTTCTTTTTCCCTTTTAGAAAACACAATTTCAGGTACTCATAAGTAAGAAAATTTTAAAAACCATTTGTTTTGGAAAGCAAGTTCCAGCCTGAAGTAAATTTTCATAGGTAATAGGTTAAATAGAAGTCTTATGTAAATGGTGATCTCTGCCTAATAGCTCCACTCCAAATATCTGATTTGAAAATAACTCCACTGTTTTAAAAGGCTCACATGGTCAGAAATGAGGCAAAAAAGTATCCACTCTAGAACTGCATACATACATTCCTTCAGCCCCAACAGCTGTGTTAAAGTCAAGATTCCTGGGATAGCTCATTTACAGTCTCCCTCAATCTGTTTGCTGTTGTTGCAGCATTAAAGTCAGACTGACCAAGCTGCCCAGGCACACTACTTGGGCTACAAGATGAGAAGGATCCTCTCTGTTCTGTCACAGCCACATGAAGACCTGCCTCTCAGCAGATGGAAGTACCCACTACTTCACGAGTACGTACTGCAGGCAACTGCAGCTCAGTGGGCTGCCGATGCTCAGACAGTACCTCACTGCACATAGGCAGACCTTGAGAAGAGCAGTGCCACTTTCTTGGTTGCCTTCTACCACAATGCTGCCATCTGTTGAAAGAAGTGGCAGCCACTCAAGTTATCACAGAATGATAGAATGGCTTGGGTTGGAAGGGACCACAAGGATCATCAGGCTCCAACCCCACTGCCGCATGCAGGGCTGCCAACCTCCTCATTTAATACTAGACCAGGCTGCCCAGGGCCCCATCCAAGCTGGCCTCGAACACCTCCAGGGATGGGGATTCCATGGCCTCCTTGGGCAGCCTATTCCAGCACCTCACCACTGTCTTGGTAAAGTTATGGCTGTCTCCATCTTGCTTTTCTCATAACTGCTCCACCCAAAACTAACTGGACCCTGTTCTTAAAAAAGAGCCTTAAAGAAAAGACAGGCAAATTCACAGCGTGCAGAGCGTAATAGAAAACATACAGAAGATATGGGAGATGGGAGCCAGTAGGCTACACTTTGCAGAAGACCAACTGACCTCACAGCTGTCCTTCCAAAGGGGATCTTGGCCCCCTTCATCTTGCCTGTCCTATCCCATCCCCTGCATCACTGGCATTCACCAAAGGCTGGTGAGCTGGTTCAGTGAGCTGAAACCACAGAGAACTAATCTGATCCGCTGCTGCTGGACTGAATTTTCTACCAGTGTAACTCCTTGGATTCATCTGACTCAAACTGCCAGGTGACAGCCACCACCACTTCAAGGGAAGCAACAGCAAGCCAAGGGGACGCTCATTTTTGGCAGCCAAGAGTCCAAATGAGCTGCAATGTCAAACCACACCCTCAGGTCTCTGATGGCTAGAGAGACTAAAGTCATGGTGGAGAGGGCAAGGGAGAGACAGGAAAAGCGTGAAATCAAAACAGACCAAGGATAAAGAGAATACGCATACTAGATGCAAAGTAGGGGCTGGACTATGAGTGTTGATCGTGGGAACAGATGGAGAGATAGAAAGAGAAGTGACACCCATTACACTCAAGATCATGTGTGAGAGAGGAGAAAGGGGAGGGAAGAGAGCACAGTGGGAGAGGTAGAACTCTGTAAGACAGGAAATATTTTTCTAGAAAAGGATTTAAGAAAAATGAGAATTGGATCTTACTGTTGACTAGAAAACCAGTCTAGTTGCCATTCACTGTGATTAACAAACAAACCTTTGAAAAACACCTTGACACCTTCTCTCTTTTGATGTTTGAGGATTGCCCACCCCTTGTACGTTGCAGTCATGCAAAAAAAGTGTTATAAGTACAACATAATATCGATTTCAGCCAGCCCAATCATCATGAATGTCTAAAATGTACCAGGCAGAGGCATGACACCACATAGCACAAACTAGAACCAAGTCATTTCCAGTTCTGCAGAGGACCATGATGCAAACAAAAAGATTTTGCTACTTCTGTGGCTCTCCACTGGCACAGGAACCAGAAAAGAATATTCATTAGATCTGACTATAAGCGTTTGCCTTGTGTGGGAGGTCTTAGTACAGTAATATGTATTAGAAACTTGATATTTTTCCAATCAAGCCTTTCCACTTCCATTTACATGCACTTAATTGTAAATATTCATTTTTCCTACCTGAAGCACTTTAAATAAAAGTACAATCAACATACCCTACAGAGAATGGGAGCGAATAGCTTAGAGGACTTGTGTGAGCTGGAGCATTGTTCCAACCTCTACATCATCGGTTCCAACCCAGCTGGGGTTGGGAGCTATGCAACACTATCACTGCTCGCAGCGTGTGGGGGGTCTCGTGGGCTGAATTGGTGATCTCACTCCTGCTCCTCCTGAACAACCATCCTGCCCCAACCAACAAATTGTAATTGACACTAACTGGCATCTGTTCCAGGAGAAAAGGAGATGACTGGCAAGGAAGAGTCCTCTCACACACATTAGTGTATTTCTTCAGAGCACAACTTCAGCCTGCAATCGCGTCAACGTGCGCTTATTTTTTCCATGCACTGAAACTTGCAAACAATGGAATTAGTATACTCTTTCTCTGCAACTTTATTTTAAACAGAACCATGTAATGCACAAAAGTACGAAGTTGCCATTCAACCTCGACTAAATGGCGCCGTTCAGGACGGCCAGCAGCTGGTAGTGCTGCCTTCACACGGAGCGTGTTTCTCTCTGTGAGGTGGCAGGCAGGCTGCAACCCGGCTACAGCCCTCCTGCTGAGAGCTCCTTGGGTGGGCAGCTGCTTTCAGCTGGCACAAACCCTACCCTTGACACACTGGGGCTACAGGCGTGCTAAAAGAGCGCTTTTGTCCACTGCCGTCAGCTGGCATGTAGCTGAGGTGGGGGCATGAGTTGCTCAGATCT